AACTCTGCCTTTGTTATCATAGATGTAACATACATTCTAAATATATGCATATATATGCATATGCATTGTATGTCTACTTTAAACTTGCAAACAAAAAAGTCTCATTGACTGTCTATGCTTCTGTCTGCCTGAAAAAGATGGGAGAGGGATTACACACAGGACGAATGCTACTATCACACATTGCACATTGCTAAATACGCTGCTTGAGTGCACTGATAAGAGCACAGCAAAGAAGCCAAATAGATAATTTATATAGTTAAATCACATGTAGTTTATTTTTTAATATGATGTCTTCTATTTTCCTTGCATCTTTTTACATTCACTTCCTCCCTCTCCCACCCATCAAATAACCGGTTTTGACATTTAGAGCTTTTAAATTAATTCATCCTATAAATAGGATTGTGGGAAATTTTCAAAAACACCTGCTGTGTGTAGGAAATCAAAAGGATTTCGCTTTCGCTGAGATTTTGGGCTCTTACACAAAGCTTTGAAAACGTGCTCTAAGGGAAAGGGTAAACACTGTGTGAATCTCAAAAAAAATGTCTGGCTTTAAGGACCAGGACAGTAAGGATCACACTGCAGCGTTTGGGAAGTCTGACCAGAAGGGAGGAGCTTTCCCAGTTATTTCTGAACTCGGTGCGTGATTTATGGATGAACTGGAGCATACCTTCTGGGAAAACAGTTTGTCTTGTTCTCAACCCTCCTCATGAGGGTTTAACAGATTTCCCTTGGCAATCTGTTCGCATGGTTAATTACCCTCATTGCTAAAAATGTTCTCTTTACTACCAGTTTACGTTTTCCTGCCGAGACGCGTGAGACTTCAAACACGTTAGATAACTTCCCATCTGTAAGAAGGAGAACTCTCCCATGTGGGTAACCCAAACATCCAGCTCTGTGCTCTGTAGCGAAGAGGGTTTGCAGCTGTCGCGCTGGGGATGCATTGTTCCCTTACAGAGGTGACGCTTTTCCTTTGGATGCTGTAAACCGCAGCAGCGCTTTGGGAGTTGGGGAACAGGGAAGCCATCCGGCTCCCTATTGCTCGTTTGAACTGGCTCCTGCTAAAACAAATGCACAGGGCGGTAATTATTCACACAGTGGCACTCCACGATATTTTTTCCCATTGTTTCCGAAGAAGAACCTGTCGTGGGTTTCGGTGACAGCCAGGTGCAGCTCAACCTGGCAGCAGCGGCTGCAGCAAGATTGCCGCCTAGTGCCCGTTGCGAGCTGTCCCTTGGAGGCGTCTGCTGCAGTGGGGTTGGGACTAACGGAGCACTTAGTCCCGTTCCCACTGCTATTACACACCGTAATATTACGGTTCATCAGCTGAATTCGCCTTTAAATGATGTGCTCAGCAGCACGTACAAGGGCAGAAGACTGCACTTCCCCAGGCGGAGATCTGGCAAATTCAGCTGTTAGAAGTCCGTTACTGCAGATTTTTGGCAGGTAGAAGTATAATTTTGCCTAGGTACTCATCCGGAGGCAATCAGATCTGCCTTCCCATGGTTGGTTTCTCCGGCCTGTCCCTCTCCCTGGTTGCTGCACCACTTCCCTTCCTCTAGAGTTACGTATTGTATTGGGTTTAGGGCTAACATTTTTAACACCAGCCCATGAGGGGAAGCCACTTGCCCCTAGGGACATTTGATGACCCAGTCAGGGGAAAGGAGAAATAAATATGGACAGGGAGAAAGTTTGAGTGAAAAGTATGCACGTTGCAGCAGAATAAAAGAATATATGAAAGGCAGTAAACGGAGTGACCTTGAGAATGGATGTAATTTCTCTTTCTCCCTCCCAAAACTGTGTGCCAGACCACAGTGACCTGACTCATGAAGAAAACGACATGCACTAAAATACAGCAAAATAATTGCCCGTGGTTGCCAAACGGATCGCGAAGTGCCAAGCAAGCCCTGCTGGCAGTTGCGATTGGAAGCGCCAAGCCAAAACTCCTCCCTTCGGCACGGGCGCAGGAAACTCCTGCGGTAGGTTCAGCCCAGCCAAGCCACTGTACTCCTGTCCAGACACTGTCAGAGTGAGCCAGCACGGTGTCCTCAACTGCTGCAGCAACAAAGTAGAACAACTCCTGGGTCCTCACCATCCTGTCGAGTCCCACTCTGATTTCAGTGCTGCCCATGGCAAAGCGCTCGGCAGAGCCCTCCCCCAGAAGCAAGGTCATCGCCGAGAGGGATGAGGTTTGTGCCCTGCAGAGAGCACAGTCAGAGATCCCAGCTGTGGTGTTCTTGCAGATGTGATTAAAACAAAAAGGATCTTTTGAGAGAGTCTTTTGTCCAGAAGACTAACAGAACCATATTTCCACTTCTGACAACTGAAAAAGGGTCAAGAATGGAAATATTTTCAGCTTTGGTGATTTTACTAACCTTTACCAAAAGGAACATATTTTTTCTTTACAAACAAAATGGCATCTTTTGATATTAAACACTGGAAGAAACACTTCTATGGTTCGTAATCCCTCCATTCCCCACAGAACAGGTGTTTGTAGTTGCGCTGATATGTGAACCAGGTTGATTTACCAACTGACTGGTAATAAGATTCAAATTAATCTTTCAGATGTATCTTCCTGATTCTGTTTCATGTAAGGGAGGCAGCGTGTCATCTGGAGACATTTCTGGCAAACATATTTGACGTATGTGCTTTGCTTATCAAAGCTTTAGAAATCATGCAGGCATCCATACTTCCTTGCTGAAAAGGATTTTACTGAATTGGTTTGCCGTCAGGCTTGGTTTGCTTGATCTTTGTCATTTTGTGGCTCTGGAATTAAGGACTGGCTGCTAGTTGTGACCCAGACGGTATTAGTCTCTCTGTCAAAATGCATTTAAAATAAAATACAAACTGCCAGAAATGTGGGGTTCATTAAAAAATATTCAGAGCACAGGGAAATGTCATGCTCTGGAATTGCATTTTCAGAATCATCTTTCTTTTGAAAGAAATCTCTCTCATAGTCTGTGTTTTGTTTCCTCTTGCAGAGAAAATGTCTGGAAAGGTTTCTCTGTTTCCTAAACTTAACACCACTTAGGAAACTGGGGCAGCTAGTTCATATGGATGCGAGGCACTCCATCATGTGCACTTTGCCGTTTCTGCAGGAATATAAACATAAGTTCTTGACTCCCTTTGCAAACATTTAGCCATGTACATTCAGAGCGCGTGTTTGCTAGCATACGAGCAAGTACTTGCACGAGTTAGGAATTCAGTCCAGTATGTAAATGCCGTGGATGGGATATCGGACATCCTGAAACACAGCATTTAACAGTGTCTGGTTTATTCTCTTAAAAGTGTTCTCTGAAATACCTTAAACCTCTTCCCTCACTTCCCAATGCTTGTTTTAACGAATCATGGGTTTTGTCACATCCTTGCTGATTTAAGTTTTGTCTGGGTGGAAAAGGACACGTTTCTGCCAGTGCCCCTTTTCATTTCTGGCTTCCCCTTTGTTTCAGATGTACATCACAAGCACAATTAAAACAAAGAGCAGCAGGCTAGCCAAACCTGTGCTGTGTCTGGGTACCCTGTGTGCTGCGTTCCTCACCGGGCTAAATCGAGTTTCTGAGTATCGAAACCACTGTTCGGACGTGATCGCAGGCTTCATCTTGGGGAGTGCTGTAGCTTTGTTTCTGGTAAGCCTATCAGTCCTTCCACATTCCTTTTTAAAATGCCTCAGTTAAAAAAAAAATATTTACTGTTCTCCTGTGGCCTGTTGAAGCTGGTTATTGCAGTTGCTAAGATCTAATTCGAGCCCCATCTAATTAAAGGTATCACCTGAGAAAAACCTAATATGAAATCAGGTTGATAGAAATTAATAAGGCTGATATGATGACATTTCTGCATTGCGTATATTTCAAGTTATTTTAATTACTGTGCATGTTCTTACTTGACCTGTCCTGGAAAACACTTTAAAGATGGTATAGACATCAACTAGTGTCAAAAGCTTCTTCTCTGTCACCCCTGTGTTGTAAAACACTACTGTCTGCCTGGCAAAAATGTAGGACACAGGGTATTGTCTGGGGCTCTAACCAGTGATCCTGGTTCCCCAGTTTGTTCCAGACCATAAAAGAAGTGCAATAGCAAGGAAAGCCAGGACAGACTCCCCAGCGGACAAAACTCCCTGCCTTTGCAACATTTGGAGTGAAGCTGAAATTGTTCATCAGGTCATAGGATAACCATGTGTCACAGGCCTTCCTGCAGAATCTAGGATCATCTCCTCTCTGGGCTTCAGATGTTACTTGCTCCCCTGTTGTCTGTGTGGTTTAACTGTTTTGTTTGGTGAGAGATCTCTTGCGGTGGATTTACCCGCACGGCAGTCAAGGTGATTCTCACAATTAGCAAGGAATGTGCCCGCTTCCATTTTATCAAAATATGCTTCAGAACTATCCACTGCAGAGCAGCAAACACTTTGTCCCCGTAATCAGGAGGGATTAGGTTTCAAAGATCCCATGAATCTATGTTGTCCCATCACTGATATTTATTCTGTACTTAAAAAAACACAGAAAACTTTACATATCATTTATTCCTGTGCTGCCTTTAAATAAAAAGATGTCTGCAACCTTTGACCTGAATCTCCTTGGCTTTAATGTAAGTAGTTTGTCTGATTCCCGCTGGGAAAGGCAGTTTAAATCTAGCCCATGCGATGTAAGAGGCAGTCACCCCATATATCTGGTCAGGACAACCGGTGTGCTCCCGGTACCTGTTCCTAGCAGTGACAGCCTGCTCCCAGACACATTTTGGCCCTGCAGACCTTCTGCCACCCTGCGACTATCACAAGCCCGATTGCAGAGCAGTGGAAGGGGTCTCCGCGGGGCTTGGAGG